AAAAACCCCACAAAAAACCCGAAACCACCTTAATAAACTCAAGTAAATGCATGTTTGAGAGGGAAAAAACCCCAGATATTTTAGTTCTGAGCACATTTGATTCTTAAAACCCTGTATTGTGTATTGGAGAAAGAGCATTTCAAAATGCAATCCAGCAGCTCATACTTAAAAAGACTTAGGAATAGACTCTCTAAACATCTTCCGGAGTTACTAAATTATGGAGACAAGTTCACCACTTTATGCTGTGTCATAAAACAAAAATATGTCTACTTCCACGAACAATGCTGGAAGCTCCACCATACAGACACATCCACATCAGAAATGCCACCCTTGCTGCATTTCTTAAATAGAGCTGTCTCTCCATTATGCTGATTTCTCGATCAAAGAGAAAGCTTTACTCCCGTATTTGTCTTCCGCAAAGGAAATGTAAAATCATTCCTATAGCGAACACATCCATCGGGAATGAGATTCTCTTTCCTCAACCCTAGCAGCACACAGTCCCGGAAAAGAACAGGTGAAGCTTGCTCCTACTTCAAAACAGCATGAGATGCAGTTCTGTGGTTAATTCTCCCTCTGTACATTAGCAAACACGCCACTTGCAAAATATGAAAGGCTTTCTTCCCTGCCCCGTTTTTAAATGACACCTGCAAATCACTAATCCAGTTGCCATTTATTTCCATATGTCAAATTACAATCTTAACTTGTGCAAAGCAACATAATAGTAATGATTAAGCCAATTACATCACAACACAGCTTAAAACGACACACAATGGAAGGATTAAAGCTCACTACCAAATAAGAGAGTCCTGTTCTTGGTGGAGCTCCCCCACTGTGGGAACATAAGTGTCTCTTTTCCTGTTGCACAAAGTTGTGAGCCTTCTGACATGTAGCTGCTGGACTGCCATTAACAAACTTATTTATATTAATGCAGCACTAAGCTGGGATCACTGCACCTCAGCATTAGCTGCGGTAGGCGGGCTCTGTGGCCGTCACTGCAAACACAGTTTATGGCACTCTGCAGGTCCAGACAGGTCGGGACACGTGGACAAGATGATCTCACCTGGCTCAACTGAATGAAGCCTCCTCTACTCTACGCTATTTGGGTCAGGTAGATGCTGACAGTAAAAGCCTTAGGGAAAGGAGGGAAAGGAGGGAAAGGAGAGTAAATCAAGCACAAATATTTAAAAAGTCAGGCATCTCACTCTCTAGATAGGGTCAGACACCATTTGCAGCTTGTCTTGAGTACGTGCTACTGTGTTCGACACTGTAATTTCAACTGATGCCGATATGTGGCTCCTATAACAATAAAATGTGGATTAAATCTTTATCACATAAACAACCTTTCAGACCAAGATTTTCAATTCTACCTCAGGGATTAAAAGGTTCTAATGGAAATTGAGCATCTGAATGTCTTAGGAGGATTTAAAAAACTCACACACTGTTATTTTTATTTGTTCATTGCCATGGTCTTTAAATTGGCCCTGTGCACCTTATTTCTTTTTCTTTTTTTTTTTCCATGTTTTTGTATTCCTCCTAATTTTCTCTGCCATCTGCTAATACTGACTGGTCCTATCTGATAAAATATATCTTCACACTCAGCTAAAATAAACACAAAATACGTTGGTACTGTTAGTATTTTACATGTCATCATTAGGCTTTAATAAGATTAATGGGACTCAAGGAGTTTACAAGTTTGAAATACATTCCTGTGTTGACTGCACACTCAGGCAGATACCACTCCATCTATTCACTCTTACTTCATGTTAATGTCTCACCAACTACAGTTCAGAAGAAACTTTTTTTTTTAATATATATATATATGTATAAAAAAAATATTATTATAATTTTATCCTCAGCAGAATTTGTATGAACCAGGCATAACTGTTAAGTCTGTCCCAAATCACCTATCAGCTGTTCACGATTTGCTCCATGGTCATCTCCCCTAAATCTCTCCATATGCAACCGTGCATACATAACCCTTCTATATATTGGAACAGAAGGATCAGTCAAAAGCTGGAAGGTTTTTTTGCTTTAAGAAACAAACATGCATTCAAACACACACACAAATGCATGTGTAAATTAAACTGAACACCACATGTACCATCATCGACAAAGCTGTTACAGCACGCTAACAGCTTCCTCCTTCTGGAAAATTAGTTGCAAAGAAAGCTGAATGGGTTTGCTTGCTTCAAGCAAAGGAAAGGTTTGCACAGCAATACAGTCAAATCTATACATCTTTATACTTATCAAAAAACAACTTTTATTTAAACTGATTGAAAACGTGCTTAGATTTTCACGGCCTTTTAAAGAGTACCGGTCTCACACATGTACAAAATGGAAATTAAAAAAGTTCACATTAAAATGTCATTTTTATTCCAACAAATGCCTTATATTCTACATTTGTTTGGGGAAGACTGTTTTCTTACGGAAAAGATGAGATGGAGGAAACATTTTTAAGGACTACTATTAATGGTTTGCAATTTGCACCTGTTCCATGGAGTAAAGATAGGATTTGGTACTTCAAGATGCCTATTCCCTGGATATTTTGGCAGTGCAACACAATTGCTTTTAGTTTTATTTTCTAAAATAAGAATTGTTTTGTCCAAATCAATATGCATAACTTACATCAAAAGCATCTTGTAGCTGATTTCTACACACACTTTTGATGATGATCATCACAACTGAAGACTCAACATTTAAGGGGCAGACTACATCAGTCAGATCTTCACTTCTTCGATGATTACTACAGTGAAGCTGAACAATGTACTGACATCTCATTCAGAATCTTTTCCTGGGAAACAGTCCCATTTCCTGCAAGTATGCGTACCTACCATGAGACTGAAATCATGGAGAATTTAAGAATAACAAATAACATTGCAAGTTCTTTTGCCACTCTAGAAATAACCTTTTTAAAAAAACCAGCATTCTTCTGTGTATCTACAGGCAACAGAGCCTGTCATCAAGCCTAAAAGTGGCAAGTGTCTAAGGATAGGTGGAAAAGATGTAGTCAAAGGAAGAGTCATCCCCTGCAGCAAATTATGCTTCTGATCATGGATACAGAGGGGTCCTACAATGTTTCAAACTGAGGCATATGCTACACCAAAAAAATCCAAAAAAGATAGCTCCTCTCAACAGTCTGCAATAGCCCTGGAGGAAAATTCAGGCTAAAAGCAGGTACCAAGGAAAACATCGCATCGTGCAAACTTTTAACCTTACACTCTTCTCAACTATGTTATCTGGTATTCAGCTAAGGTTCTAATTTATAAAATGAACTATTTTTCATTTAAAAAATTGTCCTTATACATATTCTCTGCAGGCATACCAACTCATCTGTTAATGTAACAGAGACACTAATATTTATTTGTCAGTGAGACAGACAGTGAGGGAAGCATTTCTTAGGGGAGAGGAGGGGAGAAAATACTTTCACAGCATGTCTAAATAGACAGCACAAATGAATTCTCAGATTAACAAATTTAGGATGATACATTTACCTTCTCTTGACTGATAAAAAGTACATGACATTCCTAGGCATACACAGTTCACTATAATAGAAAGCTACTATTTTAAGAGACTTAAAAAGACCCTGTTGGTTCCAAAGATGAATCTTAGAAAAAAGTTGCTTAGGACTCTGGAGGATGATGTTATGAGTTGGCAACAGCACCGATTCTGTTTTCTAAAACTAAAGCTTAGCAACAGAAAATTCTTAAAACTTTTGGTAATAAAAAGGAGTTTCAAAGGATGTCCATCAAGATGACTATAAGACATAAAACCACCTTGTAAGTCTAGCCATGAAAAAGAATTAGAAGCCTCCTCCACAGTGTTTTAGTTTTAAGGGTGATTGGCTACAATAATCATTAGTAATATTTCTGTTTACTCACATAGTCTGAAGGATTATGGAGATGAGTTCACAAGAGCTGACCCTCCAGGTTTATTAAATATTCAATGAATATTTTGTATGCATGCTGGGTATTAAATAAAAATCAGAAAATACTGCACACTACCATATGTTATATACTTCAAATAATACTGGAGCAGCTCTGTTTTTTAAGAATTTATTTAAATCACTTTATCACATATCAACATTGAAATGTACAATACCGATACAATGTAAATTCTGGTATCACGAATACTCAGGTGCTTTTAAAGTGCTTTTGTTTTCCTGCTGGTTAATTTTGTTTATTGTATTCCAAATAAACCTGGAGAACTTATTTATTATTTTCTTGCCTTTTTTTACCTTAATAGTAATAGCATTGCTTTCTTCTCACCTACAGTAGCATCACAGCATGTGGGCCTTTGAAGCAGGAAACTTCATTGTCATGATTTAGCTTACTGTTCCTACAATCTCCTTCTTCTCCTCCCCATCCGCTCTCTTCCTAGCTAACTAGATATAGCCTACACACAATCTGCCCTGCTTAAAATCATCTGCTCAATTAAAACAGTGGTCGTGACCATAATGCTCACTGGTCAAAGAAACCTGAGCTCTAACTAGGACACTACCCATCCATTTAGCAGAGTACGTCTGAAGCAGTCTCTCCAACAGGCACACTGCATGCCACACACCGATCTACAACTGAACGCAGGGTGATGCAGCTGTTCAATGTACTTTCTACTTGGGATGCACTGTGAAAAAGGACCTGAACAAAGTGGTTTACTCAGCAGACTGCAAAGCAGACAACAACTACAATTTTTCAGTTGCAAATCTATGGAACAAGAACAAATCCAGTATTTGGGCAAGTCCAATCTTAATAATTACTGCTAAGCTGATGTTCCATATTTCCACATGGGTTTCTGCAAGTAAAACTTGCTCACAGGTCTTAAACAGGATTAAGACAGCCTGTGTGCCATTCTCAGATTACCACACATAAGGGAGTTTCTGAATTGATGGATGCAAGTCACAGGACCCTCAATTCTCAGGTTGAAAACTGTCATTTTCTGTGGCATCCCATCCAACAATCCATATTGTTGGGACCTACATAACAAAACTGCACCAAACTACACACCTTGTGTCCAAATGTAGCATCCTCGGAGGCCAAGACTTCAACCTGAAATTATAAGGAGAAAGATAATTTCAAATTTAGCCACCACCAAGAATCTCTTTCTCCTGAGCACAGCACCACAGATCAGGTAAAGAAGAAATCCGTAAATGAAGATGCCAGTCTAGGTTAACCCTAGGAAACCTACATAGGATATGATGTGCTAAACTAACAGCTGACAACAGAAATCCCCAAGTGAGGAAACTCAGAAAGCATCCCTCGTGACATTAACAAGGTTCTCCACATAAATTTATGACATAAAGATTATCAGTCAGTGTCCCAGAATTTGCTGTATTACAGCTGAACATTTTTCTCCATATGAAGTTTTGACTACACCAAAAAGCTGCCTGAGCACAACCAGAATGATCTGTCATAGTAAGTCCTTGTAAAAAAAGGCTGGAAACACCTGAACTCTTCCCCTCCTGTTATCTTCTAACCAGGCTGGGTACTCCTGCACCAGCACCAAGTTGAACAGCACTAACAGCAAACTCTGCAGCTGACGTCTCGCTTGCAAGCTCCTGTCCTGTCTTGAGCATAGAGAATTCTTTGAAAACTGTAGAGCTCAGGGAACACAAACTGCCCAGGCAAAGAACAACACTAGCTGCCTGAGAGATTCAGTGAATATCTGAAAGCCTGAGAAAAGCAAGCTCCCAGGTCATTGAGAGGTGTTCCAGATGAAACTCCTTGCTGGTTGCCACACACAGCACAGCTCTAAGAGTTGATATGTGCTAATCTGCGACAACAGGAATAGAAGCAGAAAAGCAGGCACACTGATTTTTCATTAGACTCCCTAAAACTACTTCACACTTCAGCACCTTTCACCTGAGAATCTCGGTGCTTTTATGAATTCTAATTAATTAAGCTTCCCAATACACCAGTGAAGTCAGAAATGTCATCATCCCAATATACAGAGAGAAGAGTGAGGCAGAAGAGGTTAAATAATTTCTTAGTAGTCATGTGCCAAGCCAGGGACACACACATGAAAAGAATCCTGGATCTCTACTCCCAGGCTCAGAGTTTAACAACTAGGAAATTCTCTATTTCTCTGATTTACATCCTATTTAAAATGCCTACTGTTGCATTATAATTTATACAACTAGTATAACTATAACTAATGTATCTAATCTCCAGTTTAACTTAAGAAGAGTGAAGGATTTAAAGCAAATCAAGAGGGAAAAAATGAATGTGAAGTTTCAGCCTGAAGCATGTTATAATGCCAGAGTTATAAACCCCTGAACAAGAGGGTTTATAATGGAAAGGCTGATAAACTAACAATGATGGCAGCACTTAAATATATTTATGTCATGATCTAGCAACATATGGTATTCTTTCATCTTTAAGTTAAAAAAGGGAGGCAAAAAAAGAAAAGGGGGAGGGAGATAAAGCATTTATAGGAACTAGGAATAAATTAAGAAAATGAACCTGAAGTTACCCAATTGTGACCTGTCCAGCTAATTAGGAATGGCAGTAAGAGGCTACAAAATAGCATCTCATTCAATAGGAGGTACAAAAAAAAATCCAAGTAAATAAAATCAATCTAAAATGATATGATATGTATTAGCTCCTTATATTAAGCCACTAATCCTTTAGGCACTTTATAAATATTAAACAATCAGTCCTGGTGAGACTGATAAATATCCATAATATATTTTACAGATGAAGAAACAGACAGAGGGTTAAGTGACTTGCCCAGGGCCAAAAAGAATAATCAGCCATTGGATCGGAAATAACGGTATGACTGCTTGTCACAATACAGTGCCCTACTCAAATGCTCAGGTGGCTTCTGTAAAAAGTCATTCACTATTAGAAGCATCTCTGTTAGGGTTAATGTGGTTACCCATCTAAAGTGTGAATGCTCATTTTCATTCGGCTTACTGTTTTGGTATGACATACAGCTACTACCACTAGATAGACCCCAAAACTTGAACAACCTTGTTCAAACACATTCAGTTTTCTCTATCCAGTATTATGCCAGTCACATGCTTCCAGGTTCATTAATCATAGAAACACAAAGAATCATAAAGCTTGGAAAAGATGTTCAAGACAATTGAGTCCAACCTTTGACCAATCACCACCATGTCCACTAGACCAGAAGCACCACATCCAGTTATTTCTTGAACACCTCCAGGAACAGTGATTCCACCACCTTCCTGGTCCATTCCAATGCCTGACCACCTTTTCAGTGAAGAAATTCCTCCTGACATCCAACCTGAACTTTCCCTGGCACAGCCTGAGGCTATGCCCTTCTGTCCTATTGTTAGTTGCCTAGGAGAAGAAGCCAACCCCCACTTTGCTGCAACCTCAGTTGTTCTACCTTTCAGGTAGTTGCAGAGAGTGAATGCTAATAACTGTGCTACATTTCTATTCTGGAGATTCTTTAGGAAAAAAATGGAGCCTTGTTTGTGTCAATGGGTCCTTCTCTGACTCCCTCCTTGAATTCACCAGAGTTGCTGATGCCTTGCCAGTCTCAGTACACTCTACCACCCTGACCGTGCTGTCCTTTCTTCCTTCCTCTCCTTCCCAAGGGCCTCAGCTGGGCTGATGGCCCCACTGAACCTGTCCAGGGCTGCCTGTCCTCTGCCCTGTGCTCCTTCAACACTACCAGCTGCAGGAGTACAATATGGACGGGATGGCACAGAACCCCTGCATGACCCAGCACAGATCAGGCAGAGTGTCTTTCCTCTGCGCTCCGTCTCATCTGCAGAGAGGCCACCTCACCATGGCAGACCTTCACTGTAGAGCACAGCTGTATTGTCAGCAACTGGCCTGTGCTAATGAAGCTCCTGCTTGCTTGTGGCCAAGAGAATGCTTATGATTGCCATAGTCCCAAAATACATGAATTAACACGGCACAATGACCAGCACACATATGAAATTCAATCCTCCTTCTTTTCACCAAGAAACTGAAAAGACGAACAAACTGTGACATCAAAGAGTAAAGCAGAAGTTCAAGCTGGTGTAACATACTCTTAGTCTCTTTCACATATAGAAATATTTTCTTTTATGTTTAGAAATATAAGGCTCAGAGAGACAGTAAACTGGTTTGGAGTGAAGCTAGTATAGATAACAATTCTAATTAAAAATGTTATTGAGCAAGTCTGATAACGCCACTTCTGCTTTTCCAAGAATGATCATACCACTTCTTTGATACATAATTGTTCTCACCCTGCACATGATGCAATGAAACATCCTCTATATTCCTCGTTACCACTGTGTTTAGCAGCATACTACTGTGTTAGTCCATTCATTTCGATTTTCACTTCTTTGTATAAAAGGCAGTTGAGTACGAGACAAGTAACTGCTGACACCGTAAGACACACAACACAAAGTACTGAAAAAAGATGTGGGACAACATGAGGTTTTCCTCATGCTGAGTTTCAAAAAAAACAAAAAAAGTCAAAATGCATTACAACCTGGGCTGAGCTGACCCCCCTCTAGTGGGAATGCGTGTGTACTTCAAACACATCACCCCAGTAGAAGAGAATATTTCCTTAAGAATTAGGCAAGCATCATCCTTCTCCTAATCATCTTCAGACTATATCACTTCCACTCCAATAAATAAAAAAAAGAACAAGACACTCTTTATTACTTTAAGATATTCTGATATTAATTAAAAAGATCTCATTATATACTTACTCGTGGCAGTTAAACATTTCCTATTTTAGCTGGCTTTTCTGACCATACACACGTAAATATCTTGGGAAGGTGGGGTGATTTTTCTTTACAGTGAAAAATTCACCACATCACTAAAAAAAGCAGACTTGATTCTTATATGAAGCACTGTTGATTTCATCTACATATTCATATCTGTATCAGATACTGTAGCTTTCCCCTAGGCACTGCTCTAAATTTTTGCTCCAGTCCACCTTCCTTTCCTCACAGTACAGTTGAATGGGTCTGTTTGCCCCGTATTTTATTTCTATGTAAAAGTAACTTTTAGTCATTGCTCTTAGTTGTTTTTTTTTTTTCCAGTTTATCTAAAGAACCAAACACCTTTTTTGCTTCTAACAAACCAACTCAAACCACGCTAGCAGTATCCTGCAATTCTGGGCTAGAAGGCTACTGTAAGTGGTAAGGGGTAAATGATGAGGTAGTGTTCTAGGGAGTGTGTGTATTAACCATACACTGCTGATCTATTACACGTGACGAAATTAGTGGTTTAAGCAGGAGTATCCCACAGCTGGAGCATGCCTGTCCTGCCTGGGAAATTCACTCCTCCTAGAGCCCGCTCCCATCGCTGCCCCTGGTCCAATTGCAACCTTCTGGGGCTGGCCAGAGCGGGGTCCAGAGGCCCTGTAGGTCCTCCCCAATGCATGACAACATGAACTTCCCACCTCCTTGCGCAACCTATGTGATCTGCAAAATGGTCAGCTGTGGCCGAGACCACTATTACTTATATAGTATTCTATGATTTAACAGTTGAACAGAATAGCGTTTAATAGTTTATTTTACAAGAAGAAATAATTCAAAAGCATCATGTCAGCCTGGAGGACCCCTGATGAGTACGTGTAGAGTACAAGTTGGGGAGTAGCCCTGAGTCTCTTTTTGTCAGAAGTAATGAGACTTTGCCGGTATTTTTATTTTGCTTTTCAATAAAGGATTCATACAGATCCAGTTTGACAAAGAATACTGCATCGTAACCAAGACACTTACAGTAAATTATACACAGTCATTTTTACCTCCCTGTCAGAAAGAAAAGGAGTTGAAACATAGACAAAACCCTTGAGGGGCAATGCTGAACAATACCTTTTTGGAACACAGTTGTACAACCTAGTGATCAGATGACACAAGGAATTACTATAATTTGGTCTTCTTGAAAGCCATACTCAGCATTGGTTTGGTCCTCAGCTCAGTCCAGCTCTCTCTCGGCTCATCAAGACTTTGTTTGAGATAGGATTAGCTGAAACTAAGCAAGAGTCACAGGAAGTGGAATACCATTAAGAGGAGAAATTACAGCTACACCTAATGCCCAGACTGTTATCCAAACAACAGAATATGAGGAACAAGTAC